ACACACACACACACACACACACACACACACACACACACACACACACACACACATAGAGAGAGAGAGGGAAAGGGAGAGAGGGAGAGAGAGAGAGAGAGTAGAAATTCGATTATTCAAGTTACGCTCAATCAAAAGTCGTAATTTTAAGAAGTGGGGAAAGTTTGTGAGAATAAAATTTTTCCTCTTGGATGTTTTTTGATGAAATCGATTTGTTTAGTTTATCACATACATTGATCGTTTATATATTGTTCTATTTTTACAATCATGTTTTTAGCCAATGTAAGTCTAGATACACAAATTACTACTTCGTAGAATTATTTGAACTCTATTGCATAATTAGTGCCAATTTATTTGTAAAAATATAGATATATATATGTGTATCCATCTGTTATAGCAAATATTAATAAAATACTGTTGTTTATAAAAGATTAATATCTACGTACACGCGTTTAATGTGTTGCGCTACTTTTCATTTACTTAGCTCGTTGTTCTCACGTCTTTAGGTGGTGCCAACACTGGTGGCTCTCGCACAAAACTGAGCAACTTCTCCAATTTCATAGATTCTAATTCCGCCTGCGACAAATGCTGTTGCTTTTTCGTTGGTTTTAGTTTCACCCTCAAATTTGGAGACAGTTTTAGCGTGTTTACAGTACCTCTGAAAATGGATATCTCGTATAAAGTGAACAATTATGAACCAGTCACGCACACAAAGAGAGAACAGCTTCTTTTTTATATTTCTACAAAATGTTATTTACAAAATATTTTATATTTTTACAAAATATTACTTACTTATCGTCACCGACTATTATAAATGGCAGCGCATTGTTGAAAGCCAATCGGGTTAATTTGCTCTTTCGCTTACTGACGACCGGTTGATTACAAATAGGTCTGTATTTGTTAACATTCAAATCGAATATCGTAACTTTTCCATCGTTTGTTACGCAAGCAAACACCGTCGAACTGTACGGTGCCCATTGAACGTCCCCGATCGGAACACCCAAGTCAAACATGAACAAAGGTTCCCTGTAAATAATATAACATGTTGCGGTATGTGATGTAAATCAATCGATTCACCATTTTGCACTTTCGACTCACGGTCTTTCGTCTTCCCAGATTTTAATTCGCCAGTCGCCCGAGCAGCTGGCGAAAATGCTGGAGTTGAACTTGTTGAAGACTATTCGATACACCGGCATAGTGTGCGCCTCATGATATGTCCTCATGTAAATACTACTGTACGCCGTATTGCATTTATATATGGTACCCTCCTCCGTCCCTACCAGGAAAACATTCTGATCCGCGGGATGGAATGCGATACACGTCCCGCATCCTGCATGCAAACGGGCACACATAATCGTCACTCTTAACGAGACGCGATTTCTCCGGTTACCCTTTATTATTATCTCCCTGACATTACCTTTGAGCGTAATCATCGTGCCATCTGGTCCCGGTATAGGTGGTCGATCCAGGAACAATGTCATAACGGTAGTGAGACCGAGATCGTTCTGGTTTAACACCCAATGATTTATCTTGCCGTCGATACTCACGCTGAAGAACGCCAGGTTCCCCTCTTCGGTGTCGGGTGCCCAGCGAATCTAGAATCCACATGGTTTATTTGTTCTATTGAGAAAAACCTTCTGGAGATTGTTACTTGTTGAAACTCTCTTGCAGGAGCACACTGAGAAAAAATACTTTGCTTGAAAAGTTTATTCTACAGAAATAAACTTTAACTCATCGATATATGATAATGGACTTTATATCCTACAAATTTTTTAGTATTTTTTTTCTCAGTGTACATAGAAAGAGAATATTGAAGTTGAAAAGTTCAACAGACCTCCCATACTAACCCTCCATGCTTCTGCACGACGTCGTTGCTCTTGTATTGCGGTACAGACGGTGGCAACATTATATTATAAACCGCAACTGTTCCGTCCATGGTACCTTGATTGTTATTAATTAACATTAAGCGACATACATACGATATTATTGAGCAACATAATCGTTTGTGAATCACCACTTTATATTGTCATACAAAGTGATTTTATTATTTCATAATGTTATCGTTTAAATCGACATTTCTAAGAAGAGATATATTTGTATAATATTGCTTGATTATATATACCGATAACTAAAAGATGAGGATGTTGGGCGTTAAAATCCAAGCACATCACCGGAGACTCCGTCGGACAGATCCATTCTGGGTACGATGGATTTTTCAAGCTGAACAAGCACACCGTGCCGTTTGTTACTGTACTATTAAACAACACTAAAATACACAGGCTCTCATTTACTTTCTTGAAAGTTGCGAGAAACGAAATACGCCATGAGCAATTCTACCAACGTGTTCCGTAGGCGACTGCGAAGAGATCGTAATATCTGCTGTTAAAGCACATGTCTGTGATGTCGTGTTTTTTAGTTTTCTCGTAAGAGAATTTCCACAGTGGTAATAAGGAGCCCTCGCCGTCCTTGAATTCATCGCTCGGATCGTCCCAATATCTATAATCTAATGTTAATTAAAACAAGTATATATGTATCTTCTTTCTCTCGAGTTTCACCGACGCAGATCGCTTACCTTGCGATATATCGTCGAAGATGTTTTGGTTCACCATTCGCTCCAGTGTTTTCGCGGCTTGTAGCATTCTATATGTCATTGCTGAGGTCTCGATCTGAGCCTTCTTCTTCACATCCTCTTTCTTTGGTTGCGTCAGCGGTGCTTTTTTCTCTTTTTCTTTCTCGCGCTGCTGTTGAGCGAAGTCTTCCTGTCCGCAAAATAACGAAATTGAAATATTGCATATTGTACTGTTGAATATTGTTGTATAATTGAAAAAAAATTCAATATACCTGATATTCGTCAAAAATAGTCCATTGGAAAACGTGCGTATTGAAAGTTGCGGTCGGTGGAGGTATAGTTTGAGTGCTCATATCCTGTAAAGTATTTGATTCTTTATTCTACCTGGTTATCCTAATGGCTCAACTTTATTTTACTTGCATCGCGCAGAACACCTTAATGTTTTAAATCTGAATAGAAGTTTCTGACATTTATATTACAATATGTTGTTTTGCAGGAAAAAAAAATATGTTATACATACCCTCATAGGATTATCATACGTCAACGCCGCCCTTTCACAATAATTAAATTGATTAGGCAATTTCTTAGGCTTTGCCTTTTCCACTTCATCTTCCTCAGGTTCTGGCTCAGCTTCCAATTCTTGCTCGTACTCAGCCTCGGTTTCTATCATTTTATCCATTTCGTCTGCTGTTCTTATAGGAAGAACATATATGATTTATATTTTCATTTAAGAATACAGATAAAAGTAGATATAATTCGTTAAATAGTTATATGTTATACGACATTATCTTCTATGCCTACCTTCTTGCTCTTCTTCTTCAAGTTCTACCTCTTCTACAACTTCAACGTCAGGCTTCAATTTCTCATCTGCTAGTTCATTTTCATCGTCAGCTGCATACACGAGGATGCAAATGTAAAATATATCGCTTTAATTATTTTGTTTAGCGTGTTAATGGTTGCGTTAGAGAGCACAGATAAAGAACTTACCGGTATCTTCTCCTGTCAATTGCAGTTTGGCCTCTTCAGAGTCTTTGTGCAGTATAGTGCCAGCTACATTCAAAAGAGTCACTAAATGTGGTGGGCTGGGTAATCTCACAAATTCACGTAATTTCCATGACCATTCCACCAATGAGTCTGGTATTCTGGTGTTATGTACAGTTAATACTCTGGCAAATTCCTCTTGTAATTCCTACAGCACAATTTCAATTATAGAATTATCCTATAATATCAAGGAAAGATGCAAGAGTTTTAGATCAAACATACTGCTTCTGTTAATTGTAATTGGTCATCTGGTTTCAACCAAACTTTTCCTTTCATCCAATCCATGTCACCAGCAGCCAAATCTTGTCGTGATATATGACTCTTGGTTAGTGCTAAATGCTGCAGGATTATAAAGAGTATGAGATATTTTTTATACTTAGCTCTATGGGTGCATAATGTGATATTGTCATCTAAATGTTATCTGAAAAATAATCTTTCTTTTTCTAATTTATAATAGGAGACAATAAATACATACCTCTCTACTTATGTCTGATATTTTGGGGATTGATTTTTTGGGGATTGTTGGTGCCATTGTTTGTATCGTATTATAAGATTTTCTGAAAGCAATTGCAATGACTTGTCAATTAGCTGGGGATAGATCACTCTACTTTATCTTGTAAGACGCAATGATGAAAAGATGCTCAAAGTGAGTCTACTTTATCTGTGTATAGTTCAATAAGAGAGTCTTTAAAAATTTACAAATATAATTAAGATACACAATGGAACAAATTAGATAAAAGCTCCAAATGCTGTCATATCATTCAATACTAGTTATGGTTTCCTAGGATACGTTAGGCACATTGATAGTAATGTCAGTTGATGTTAGTATGCGTGTGAGACTTGAATATATAAAATAATGTCTATAGATATCAATTTTGAAAAATTAAATTTTCATTGTATGAACATAAACATGAACAGATTTGTATCATCATTTTATAGTTTATTTAATATTTATATGTATTATTATGTAACAGATATATAACAAGATGTGAAATCCAATGTGTACAATAAAATCAAGTGCATATATGAAATCATGTATGAAATCATGCATGAAACTTATGTAATGCTGTTTGTATACATCGTATCTTGAGCGTCGTTGTATTAGTCTTCCGCTTAGTAATATCGAGACAAGCACGCTTATCTCTTTGGGGTTATTCCGGTAGGAGGAAAATCAATAATGGACTATACCATGGTAATGTGAACATTCCAACAAGTTGCAGGGCAGTTATTGTACAGAATCGCGCAAATATTATCAACTAAGCTTTGTCCATCGTATTGTTTAAGTAGTTTTCACGATAAAGAATGACATGTGCTATTAAGCTCTTCTGATCCTAGAATGATACACATGAAATATTACATGTGAAACTGTGATGAGTAAAGAAACATTCAGTCAACCTCTGCATCTCTGTGTGGATAAATATGAATATTTGTGAATGTTGTTAATTATAACGGATATTGTGCATTGTTGTTGTGTTCTGAGATTGTGTTATCTCAGATTCCATCTTAACCTCTTTCTTTCTCTCTCTTGTATTTGAGCTTTTGATAAGACAAGGTAGAGATGGTGCAAACATTACCTTCTGTTACAGATGGATTAAAAAGCTGGATTTCTGCCTCCATAAATGTGTTGAAGCATGGAAGATAGCGGTATTGACAGTGATCCTAAAACTGTTAGCCATGTGGAAGATGAAAGACCCTTCTTGGTAAGTATTACTCCGGTACTGTGTTGAGGAGATACTGACAGTTAGACTTACCTAGAATTTCTATCATATGGTGCATCATATGGTAATTATATAATCTTTTATGCATAAAAACAAATTCATGTGCACATACAAAACAAAATTGTGCAATGATGTAATATTCTATTCCTTGCAGGGCAGTGATAGTAGTTCCAGTAGTAATCATACCCAAGTACCTCAACGAAACACCACTAAGCAGTTGCAAAAGAAACTTGGTATTGAAACACAATTTTGCCTTGCATATTAACTTTCTACAAGACTACAATGTTGCTTGTAACGATTATTTAATTCATGTAATCTCCATGTGTTGTTATAATGTCTCCTTATATATGCAATTTCGTTTTCTAGAGACACGTATTGAGCAGGCAAAGCGAATTCAACGCAGTTCCGATTACATAAAGCTTCCAAAATATGACAACGAGAATACAAGTAGTTCCAGTTCCGCCGGATTGATATCAATCCAAAGATTGCCTATACCACACAAGAATAAGGAACACCTTCCTCTAGTCGAATATAGTGAAAGCGAAAGGTATTGAATAATTACATATAAAGAATTGGCAGATGACACTGATGTATCATTATACTTAAAGATTAATTGTAATTGGTAGGCTATTTCTTTTTATTAAATATAGCAATGTTTTATTATTATATCATCCGTAAAGAGTATGTTTAGATATAAGCAATGATATAATTTACCTAATTTGTGATATTAAATTGATAATTACAGTGAGGACGAGATGACGCTCTTCCCGACGAAGTCTAAGGATTCCTCAAAGCACAAACAAGATCTCACTGACACGTTCAGCATTGAGGAATTGAGCGACGAAAGCGAGGACTCTTTGAATCTGGATCCAGCACAGCCACCGCATCCTTTTATGCGGACTTATGTACCTACCGGATGTTTCGCTTGCCAGTGTCATATACTGTAAAGTAACATAGCCTACCGATGGATACGCCACCAATTACCAACTAAAAAGTTATTATTTGGAAATTCAATTAATTTGAATATATTTGCATAAAGTGTTTGCAAACATTTCTAGCAGATGCGTCAAAAATTATGTGATTGACATAAAACGAAACTCACGTTCTCCAGTGGAGTAAAACTGAAGATTTTGTTACTTAATTACTACGCGAGATAAGAGATGTTAAAGATATTATTATATCAATTTCCTTGATTTATATTGCTTTTTTATGTTTATCTTATGTTACAAGAGTATTGTATCACATCGAATTGTGTATATTGTTTACAGAACGATCTTAAATGATTAAAATTATTTTGTTAAACCGTTGTGCACACGCTCACCTAGCTTCCCACCGCCGACGTCTCTAAACGTCAGCCACTTTGTGGAGGATCGTAATTGTGCATAGACGTCCAAGCGGGACGTTAATCGGTCCCGTTGAATGCAGCAATTCATTGTGGGGACAACGCTCTCTTCTTCGTGACCGAAGCAATTATTGCTAAGGATATTATTCAAACGGCGTTTCCCAACGCTCACGAGTCATTGGTAACATTCGCAATACCTAGTTTGCATGAGATCGCGACAGGTAATGTTCGCTGGGCTTTGTGCAGAGCATTGCTCAAGTGCACTCTTATTAAAGAAAATCATACATTGATAGAAATGTTAAATAATTTTCTGTCTTTCTTTTTTTTTCCTATCAAGATTTATGAGATAATTTTAACATGAATATTTCAGGATTTATATTTCAGGAAGAAATAAATTATGAGAAATATTTAACAAGTAAATTATATAAGGAAAATTTTCTCTTCATATCATTGTATAAAATAATTTCTACTGCTTAATACGCTGTCTCTCTACGTTCGATTTTCCGGTGATGTAATACATTACGAGGTCATTACGTGAATGAGCACGTGCGATAGTAAATAATAGAAATAGTATCGTCCGCGGAAACTTTCAGGCGTAGAGCTGTAATTTTTTTTCTTTCGTAAGTTCGCTCCCTTCGATTATTCCGCGCAGTGCCGCATTACGAGAGGATATGAAAAAAGAGAGAGGGGGAAAAGACTGACGGTGAATTTTGAAAGAGTCGCCGACATGTGGGACACGAAATTACAAGTTCACCGTACACTTTGATTAACTTGCGATGTACTGCGTAGGGCTTCGCGGATCGAGAAGAAGCGCGCTATCGTGAGCGCGCAATACAGGAAGACGTTTCGCGCACAACCGACGGAACAATAACCGCGATTGAGCGCTATAATTGAACGCGTAAACACGTAACCGACATTTTTCTACGGTGCCCCAGGATCGCATGGAAACACTCCTCCAGCGATCTTGTCGCTAATTAACGTGGCCTTGCGGAATCTGATTTTTAAGTCACGAGAAATTGCGGACTCGACTCGAGGATCCTCGAATAATTGAAGACTTCCTTGGCGAAACGCGCGCCGGGTCGTCTGCGGATTAAGTAACGCTCACTAAAGACCAATTACTCAGTTTTTGCGCAGGACAATATCTTCTTGCGCAATATGCACGTGCAATTTAGCGCAACGGGAAGAATAGTTCACCTCTGATAATTTTAAGAATTTTTGCGCATCGTATGTGCGCTTAGGCACCTTGTTGAGGTCGACAAAGTCAAATGGACTGCAGAAAAGTCAAGTAGGGGAGACAGGACTATATGGCCCAAAGGATATGTTGCTAATGTACGTTTTTTAATATTTTTCTTGAGAGGAAACAGATCGTCATTTGTAAGTAATCTTCTCGTTTCTCCTCGCGGTATATGTAAGGTGATCAGATTTTCCTGCCCCGAATTTGGAACACTTCATAAATGAAGCGGGGGGAGGGGGTAAAAAAATCCGAAAGTTATTTGATAATCATTGAAAATGATGACAAATCGGTGTCCCGAATAGCACTCGGAAAAATTTGGGACAAAGGGTGAAAAATCGGGACGTCTGGATCGAGGTGACTGGATAGGAGAAAAATTAGTAATGGATTATACCATGGTAATGTGAACATTCCAACAAGAATTGTTGCAAGGCAGTTATTGTACAGAATAGCGTAAATACCCGATGAAAAATTGTTTATATATAATTATATATAAAATTTGTCCATACATAATTATACATAATCATATAAAATAATCATAATAATATAAAATACATAATCATATAAAATTATATATAATTATATATAATTATACAAAATTATGTATAGTTATACATACATTATCACATATAATCACATATAATTGTATGCATAATTATGTAAAATTATGTATGAAATTATATATATCATTATACATGATTATATGTAACATGTATTAACATGTATGGACAAATTTCATACATAATTATACATAATGTAAAATTATATATAATTTTACATAATTTTACATAATTATGTATGAAACATTTTTCGTTGGGTATTATCAACTAAGCTCCATTCCAGTGGATCCTATCGGATCATCTTAGCTGTATGTGTCGAGAAGGGAGGAAATTACTTGCAGGCGCGTCAATCACGTACACCAAAAGTTCATTAGCGCGCCGAAAGTGCCAAAAGTGGATGAATGTAAACGCGCCAATGATGCGAACGAGGTCGCGCGTCTATAACGACGCGATCTGTACGACGCGCCGCGGCGGACGTCTTAACTCCTTGTTCGAGTTATTAACCACTCCACATCAATCGCGTATTCGTTTCGCACTATGAGGTTGTCATCGTGGTTATTCGATCTAGGTGTTGGTAATGAATCGCGCGAAATGCTCGATCTTTTCGCGCCAAGCAGCAGCCAGGGGCACGCATCGATTCACATCGCTCCGCGTTTCTCGCGTCTTTTATCTGTCGAAAATGAGTCTCGTGCGTTAATAAGTCTCGGAAGTGTCGAGAATAGCGATGTGCGATCGTCATGGCGTATCGTGAAGACGTCGTTTGTAAGTAATCTTCTCGTTTCTCATCGTGGTATATGCGGCCGGTGCTTTTCGCGCCGACATCCCTTACATTTGCTAATAATATCGACTCGCTCAAGTAGCAATAGAATCGGGCGATCGTCGGATTTATTGAACGGGAATTAGAAATGCGATGACAATCAGAGAGAAAGAGAGGGAGATGCGGAATATTCGGGTGGTTGCGTCAACTTGTTAGGAAAAGAGATACGTAGAGAAAAGTATTTCATAGAACGCGTTCTTTTCGGCCGCGGCGCCATTCATATATTGGCGTATATTTTCAGTGCGATTCAACAATCGCGCGACCATCTTGATTCTCGATCTTTCTGCATCGGGCAACCGCCGTGGATACATCGATCGACATCGCTACGCATTTTACGCGTCTTTAACTCGTCGAAAGTAAGTCTCGCGCGGAAATAAGTATCGGGAGTGTCGAGAATAGCGATGTGCGATCGTCGGGGACGTCATTTGTAAGTAATCTTCTCGTTTCTCCTCGCGGTATGTGTAAGGTGACCAGATTTCCTAACCCTAAATTCGGGACATTTCATAAATGTGTGAAGCGGGAGGTAAAAAGATCCGAAAATTATTTGATAATCATTGAAAATGATGACAAATCGATGTCCCGATAATAGCACTCGAAAAAATTCGGGGAAAAATCAGGACTGTCCTGAAAACATCGGGACTGTCTCGAAAACATCGGGACGTCTGGTCACCTTACTTTTCGTGTGTATCAAAACGTTGGCGGGAAAGACAATGCCGTGCACGCTTAGAAGAGGCACGCACAATGTGCGCCAGATCGTAGCAGCGAGATAACGTATGCGGAGAATACCGGTGCGAAATACACCGTCGTAAAACACGCTCCGTTGCGGAACCGCGAGAAACGGAATGGCCGTCGTCCTTTTTCTCGCTCGATCTCGACATCGAAAAAAAAGTCCGGTAATACTTAACAAATGTATTTAAATGAGCAATATTTTTCAGTGCAATATTTGGTAATTAGTATCAAGTGTAATAATAGTTACCAGGATTGCGAATAATTAATCACTTTTTTCAATTAATTATCGTGTTTAATTGACGATTAATATGAGCCAATTTACTTGAAGACCGTTTAATAGACAATCGATTTCAACAACTTCAATCAAAAATCGTTTGACTGATGATTGGTTTCAACGAATTTTATTAAAAACCGTTCAATTAACGATTAATATGAACGAAGAGAATTAAAGTTCGTTCAGTTAATATTTGAAATTAGCAAATTTAATTAAAGGACGTTTAATTGACGATTGATGTGAGCAAATTCAATCGATTCAATCGAAGATTGCTTGGTGACGATAGATATGCTCGGAACGTCTTTCAAGGTCCTATTCAAACATCGACATTTTCCACAATGCCGTGATGCTCTGAGAATGAATATTATCCACAAAACTAATTGTAATTAAATAATTGGGCGCTTTTCTATTAAATCGAGATTTTTTGAATCGATTAAATTTACTTATGTCAATCATCAATATTTTTAAACAACATGATCCTATTTAATAAATTGTTTTATGATATGTAGTACATGAATTAACAATAATCACTAAATTTTGGAAGTTTGATGATCACTAAAGTTTGCAACAGATATCAAGGCTTGCTATAATTATTTTTGTTAATACTTACCAAATGAGTGAAATATATTCACTTACACGTGTTTAGTCGAAACTATCTCATCAGAACATCTAGTAATTATTATCTAGACTTGATTTATTTATTTATTACCAAACTTTTATTATTATATTATTATATATATTTATTTATTATATTATTATATATATTATTTATATTTATTATTATATATATTATTATTATATTATTATATTACTAAATCTTTATTATTGTATTATTTATTTTATTATCACATATTTTTTCTCAGTGTAAGACACAGTTACAGTGTGTGTTTTATGCCGGGATTATCGTTAATGTTGTCATACGATTGTTTTTGTAAATTCTACCGTGCAACGACGCCGATACTCGTACACATCGTCTGTAAAGCACGTCACGTTTATCTGAAGTTTCATCGCCGGCATCACATACGTGTATGACAAACACGCTTCCTGTGTCTCTTTAAAGAGCTCTCTTTGATCTTAAATACGAACACGAAAATGCGCGTCGTGGAGGTAGCGCGATAGCGCTCTAATTAATGGCTCGTGTACCTGAAATTTATTCCACCTCTCCGGTATTCCGGCGAACTCGATTTTTAATTAAGTCTCTACCCGGCAGGTATATACGACGTACGTGCATTAACAAGCCGCCGGGTCGCTTGCTGCGAGGATATAAACATTTGTTGCGCTAAATTTTCATATCTGTGCGCTGCGCAGCGCGGTGCAACGCATGATGCATCGCGTATGAATATTTAGAT